CAGAGACAACAGGGACAATAAGGACAACAGGGACATTAGGGAATACAGGGACATCAGGGACAACAGGGACAACAAGCACAACAGGGACATCAGGGACATTGGGGACAACAGGCACATCAGGGACAACAGGGACAAAAAGGATGACAGGGACATCAGGAACAACTAAGATGACTGGACTGGACTAACTAGGATGATTGGGATGACAAGGATGACTGGAATGAATGTGGTGATTAGGATGACTGGGATGACTAAGGAGCCTGGAAAGACTCGGAATAACGGCATGGATACTAGCTGGTGTTCGGGAAAATGAACCCGCACTCAAGCGTAAGTCTCCCCAAACAGGTATTCGAGCAATGGAATCACATTTAGATAAACAAACTTTAGGAATCACAAAAAAAAACTTATTTGGGTTATTAAACAACAAAATCTGCAAAATTTCTTTTCTGTCCAATGTACTTGCATGGGACAGGCAGTTGCCTAGCATGAGATCAAAAGTCTCCAGAAATGTCGAAATGTCACTAAAGATTTCGGGTAAAGAAGTTGATTTTGCGAGAAGTCTGTTAAACAAATAGCATGAGGTCAATGGTACTTCATTAGAAGTCAATGAAATAAAGCAGAGCTTTTATTTGGGTCGTCACGCTTAACAGAAATTTGCAGAACGTTGTTTAGAAGAAGCGCAAAAAATAAGCGCCATTTGTTCTCGATTAGCTCAAGCTTTTATCAGAGTAATCTGCTATCGAGTCCGCAATCAAGATACATATATGACATAAAGAAATTGTCTCACAGCGATGGGCTAAAAGTCATTCCCAGATACACGGGAAGACCTGTTTAGAATTGCAATCGATTTGCTTGAAAGTCGATAAGATTTTCGTCGAATTCATCACTTGTGATTTTCACAATCCTCTTTTATGTACAAGTCAAACATTAGACGGACTAACTGTTACATCATAAGAACAACTGGTTAGAGTGTTGGAAGAAATCATTAACGCATTTAGACAAATCATTAAAATGTTTAGACAAACCGTTAGAAACTGTGTTTAAGCAAAACATTAGAGCATTAGAAAAACCGTTAGCTATCCATTAGTTTTGTAAAGGATAACAAATTATCATTAGTGTGCGTTTTCCCAAAGGAGAAAGTCACCTATCTTGGGGGCCAGGTCGGCGACCAGGCATGAAAATTTAGTCACCACTGAGTAAAAACTTGTAGCATTGGCGACCCCACAGGTCGCAACGTCGAGCCCTGCTAGGATGACTGGGATGAATTGTGTGACTAGGATTGGATGGCAGGGTGATTGGTATGATTGAGATGACTGCGATGAGAAGGGTGACTGCGATGACTGGGATAACTTGGATTACCAGAATCACTAGGGTGTCTGGCATGACTATGGTGACTAGGAGGACTAGGATGACTAAGGATGATTTGGATGGTGGAATGTTTGGGATGACTGGTATGACTAGGAAGACTAGGATGACTGGGATGACTGGGATGACTAGAATAACAAGGCTGAATAAAATGACTGGAGTCAATGGGATAACTGGGATGAGTATAGCCTGCGAACACAGCTGTCTCTCCTCACTTCTCGCAGCTAGGGACATTTCACAGGAGAGATGTCTACTCCTTAATGAAACAAATTCCACACTGACGATGCAAATCAATGTTTACATAATGTAATCTAGTAGTCATGTAGTCGTTGTTAGTTCTTCAGTGAATGAGCTGCAGCAACACTCTTTGTGATGTTTTGTTTTGTCTTTTCTGTCATTTGTAAACAATAGCTAAAACAATGCAATCATTGCGAAATTTGTTGCGCTGTGCGTTTTGCAAACTTCAAAGGATTTTTGGGTTTTTCTGTTCCGTCAATCATTTTAGCGGACCTCTTAGGAAACACATGTCTGTTGTTCAAGTTCAAAAGGTCATGGTTTGTGATTCATGATTGGTGGATTTCGGTCCGTTTTGTTTGTTTCGTGTTTCAAGGTTTGTTGCTTTGTGATCGTCCTGTTTCGGGCAATAATCGACTGGTTAAGTTTGCTACCCAGATTTTCCTGATCTTTCTTATTCTTGTCACTTGCAAGAATAAAGCAACGTCTGCCTCCTTCCTTCGACAAAAAATCTACTCACCATCGCGATTTCCTCCGCTATGCTTGGACAGTCTAGAGCTCAGCCAAGCTGGGCGAGCACGCTGCAATGTGATTTGCATTAACCCCGCCTTCACTAAAGTGATTGATGGAACAGAAAAACCCAAAATCCCTTTGAAGTTTGCAATACGCGCAGCAGGATACAACCAATATTGCTGTAATATGTCAACCAATCAGAACTCCTGACCAGATTTAGCACAGATTTTATGTCATCGCTATGGAATTTCTGTCATTGAGGCGCAGATGTCTCTCCAATGAAACTTCCCTTAGAGAAAGGAGAAAGGAGAGAGAAATTGTAAGAGCTTTCTCCTGGGACATAGAAAAATGTCCGTTTTAAATGAGGTGTAAACCCCAGTTAAGTGAGGTTAACCCGCTTAGGAATTAGGTGGGGTCACCCGCCTGTCCATATTTAACAAGATTCAAATAATTAAGTGGCCGGGTGTTTTGCAGGAAACCTTAATCCTAAAAATACCATTAACTGAATATTATTTGCTCATGAGACCAACACTTTCTACTAAATAGTCGTAAATTTTAAGTTGAGCTCACTATCATACCTCTCAAAAGACCTGTGTCGGATTTTTCAAGACTTCTGCCATGCCATGTCCGTGAATGTTGAGCCCATAATTAACTCCAAGTGTTGAATAATGGGTTAATGAACCGATGGATGTCAAATCCGAGTTCTTAAAGTCTATAATAATGTCAAGTTGGAGACATTAAAAATGCACATGTTTCTGCTTTACTCACTCCGTCGCCATATTGGTTTCTCTTAGAACCCAGTCTCAATTGGCGCGTGAGTCTCGCGCTACATGTACTCGTTTCGCGTTTTTCGAGTGCTCGTATGTAGTTTGTAGTCTTCTTCCAGGGCATCAGAAAATATATATTTCTGGCTGTAGTGACGTTTTTCGTGACATTTCATTATTTACGGGTGAGACTGACAGTAGTTCTATCTTCTTAGAAGTGACGAGTATTTCAACTGAGTAATGAAACTCTGCCTCGCGCGCTCCTCGCCGCAAGGGACGTTTCGCGGGAGAGACACGTCTCTAGCGAAGAGAGAAGGCTGTATTTCAGGTTAATAACCAAACACAAGGCATACCTGTGGGAGCGCAAAACAATGGTCCAAAAAGAGCCTATAGCTGGGTTTAAAGAAATTCTCAATCAGACTGAGCTGCACCAAGGAACGAGAACCCAGAGCATGTAGCCCTATGTCAAGGGAATCGATGACAGTCTGGGATTCTCGATTCCAAGCCGTCACGGATTTCAGGATTCCAGGGCTGGATTTCAGTCTCTATCACTAGAACTTGGATTCTGGATTTTAATCGTTAGTGGATTCCTTAAGCTGTATTCCGAACTCGAAAGTCCAGGATTCCGGATTTCACAAGTAAAATTTTCCGGATTTCGGATCCCACGGGTAAAAATTTTCCGCATTCCAGAATCCGGATTCCCTTCCATGGGGGTGAAGCTTGCTTGGTAGGTGCATAAAGGGGAGGGGATACTGGGGAGAAAAGAAGAACTCTCCCTCCCTTTCCCTCCTAATGCCTGCTATGTAGGCTAGGATTGCTGATTTGCACTCGCCTCGGCAGTAAAGGGTCTTTGACCTGACGGCTGCTATGCTGATGAGCCCCAATAAGGGCGAAACAGCTGTCCATGGCTGCCACTGCCCGGGTGATATAGTTGTGGGCATGCGTAAGGTACTGGCCATACCGCGGGGTTGGTAGCGTGTGCTTCAGTCCTGAAATATGCCATTTTACAGTTATGGATGGAAGCGAGGCTGAGGGTGACCTTGTTTTGATACAAACCTTCTTTGCTTTGTTATGGAAATTGTTCTTGAAAAATACTATAAAGCATAAGAATAACTTGATTTACAAAATAAATCAGGAAGGTTTGTATCAAAACAAGGTCACCCTCAGCCTCGCTTTCATCCATAACTTGGTATTATGAACTCAAGCCCAAGTCAGGGGCGTATCTATGGGGAGGGTACTGAGGGTGCGCAACCCTCCCCTGAGATGACCTGCGGCTTTCTAATACCACAGGTATTCTGCGAAAAAAAAAACTTTGTGGTTTATTTAAACATGAGACGAAGTTGAAGAATTTCAGTGTTAAACGCCGTGAAAATGGTAGTTAAAATGTTAGTTCCCTAGTGGAGCACCCTCTCTTAAGAAAAATCTTGGATCTGCCCCTGAAAATATTAAACGCTGGCAGCAAAATGAATCTCAACTCGTAAAGCCCATTAAACGCTCAGCAAGTTCGTCGGTTCACTTGCAATACCATGAGTGATCGTTTATAAGCAGGAGAAAGCCTCGTCAAGCTCCTAGGGATCGTTATTCCGCGCGGTCTGTGCGTTTCGGCTAACGTGTTCAAAGCGAGGAACCTTAGCCTGAGGAAAGAGCGAAATGACATCTGAGCAACGGGCGCAGAAATTCTATACTGATGACGTGTAACTTCCTAGATCTGGGTAGTGCTTCTGATTGGTTGAAGCAGATTTCCCTCGGGGCACGACCGATCAGAAGCACTACCCAGAGCTTGGAAGGGACAGCAATATGGAGGGCGCTCGTTCCTCAATACACTCCCTTCTTCTCCCCCTCCCCCCTCAAGTACATGAATCAGCTGCTTGCATGGTAACGGAAAACGTTTAAAAAGAAGAAAGGAAAAAGAAATTCTAGACAACCTGGGAGACTGGGGGCTAGCTTTCGATCGGTACTTAAGAGTACTATGATCACTTGGGGAACACGTGACTTATGAAAGGTCGGTAATTTTCTCTTCACTTTAAGTTATTTCAGATGTTACCTAGTTATTTCCAAACCCCCAAGCTATCCATCAATTCAATACGCTATACCATGATTTTTTCTAAGGATGAAGGAGCTTACAGCCTATAACCGGGGCTCCAACCTCGTCCCAGGGCTTTTCCATAAAAAAATGGTTTTGAGGGAAAAGCCCTGGGGATGAGGTTGCCGGAGCTCCTAAGAGAGGCAAATAACAGGGGTCATTTGCACGGTGGCGTCATTTTACTACTATGATTAGACTATTTCTAAACGTAGTAACACAAACAATAGCTTATATACATTTTCTCAATTTTATTTGAACTTAATTACTCTTAAATAATACTTACACATTTATTACTCAGTCGAACTTTGAGAAAAATATTTCCACAATTTTTTATAATTATTACATTAACATTAACACGTATATTAACCTCAATTTTTTCTATTCTGAAATTCAATTTTTTTAAAATATCTGTAGCTAAAATACCTATTGTTTTGGAGTTTGAAAATTTAGATAAAAAGGTTGGTCTGAAAATTGTACGGGCTTCAGTAAAACTGAAAGATTGAAACTGATTTTATATCAACAAGATATTTTTAATGAAAAAAAAACGATTTTTCTTTCTAAGTGAGTAGTGATTTCAAAAAAGAACGAAACAGCTAACAAATGACAACAGATTTTGGATTTAGGGTCAGAAAGTTTTATAGTTTAATTTGCTAAAGTTATAAACATTTCCTTCAGATAAAATATGGCAAATTTTTACTTAAAAGATAACAGAGAAAGGAAATAGTTTTCAGAGTCATCTGTTCTGGGTGGGATCCAGTCCATCACAGTCATATCTCTTTCAGAGGAAACAATCGAGGGCTGGTTTGGTGAAGGGTTCTCGGAATACCTGGAAACAATAAGAGTGTTCAGTTACATAAACGCTTTTACGAAACGAGGCATTGAAAAATAACATACAGTTAACTTCTTGTTACAAACACCTCCACGCGTTAACTCTACGAGGCTGTATGATATACGCACCACGCTACTCAGTGACGAAGGGCCGCGGAACAACAGGGTGACCAAAAAGAAAAAGGCAAAGTGAGGAGAGGAGAGGGGAGGGTAGGGGACTGAAAAGGCCCCTCCTCATTCTCCTAAAAGCACGGCTCGCTTTTTTGCGACCATCACCTCGTAATTCATCTTTTTACCCACCGAGTAACCTGGTCCCAAGCAACTTAAATACAGACAATGTGTACGGACGTCAAGGAGCTGAGAATCAACTATTTTAACCAAAAAGTAAATCAATGAAAACCAAGTACAATTCAAAGAAAACGGTCTGAAATTTTTAATGGAAATATCTCAGAAGAGAGAATATATGTTACATTTTGAAACAATTATCCCCAATCTACAACTGTAAAGAAGGAACAAAGTGGGGTCAGGAGCACATGGGACCCCGCGGGAGCCCATAGTGGAGTAGATGACTTAAGTGTGACTTCCTACCCTTTAGCATTACTGCTAACAGCGAGATCACTGACATTTTCTTACCTCAATGTGCTGGTTTCATGCCTGGGATCTCTCGCTTGTGCGTCCAACGCCGCCCACTGGAGAAACAACAGAAAGGATATGTCAGTCAGTATACCTTATAAAAGGAAATTAACGCTCCATGAAATTAACGCGAATAGTTAAAATTCGCGTTAATTTAAGTCGCGTTAATTTTGTTGAACGTTAATTTCCGCGCTCTTAATTTCCAGTATTTTAACCCCAATTTTGGAACCTGTCCAGACATTCTTGACACCTAAAAAACATTAACTACACTCTTTTTTTCTTTCAATTAACCCTTTATTTCTCATCTGTCACAAAAGCTAAGGCGAAGGTTTACAATATTTCGAGTTCATCTTCATCGTTGTCGCTGTCAGAAGTGATGTCAGCTCAGTTTTGTTCAGTTTTGAATTTTTTGCATCCAGTGTTGAAATAAATTTGTTCCAGTTGTCACCACCAACTGGGTCTTAATCGCGTTAATTTTCTTCATTATGAAATTCTACCTCCTCTTTCGCGTTAATTTTCTTTATTCGAAAGTCGTTTTCCATTAAATTCGCGTTAATTTAAGTCGCGTTAATTTCCAATACCTTAATTTCATGGAGCGTTAATTTCCTATAATAAGGTATATAGTTCTCAAATTACAGTGTTTTAGTTAAGCCAATTTGTTTATCTCATCCTCAAACTGACTCTTTGAGACTGGTCTCAAACGGTGTTACGGTAGCTTTATTATCATCATCACCGTCGTTTATAATACCTAAAATGGTAAAATACACCCTCCGTATCAGAAGCTGGTATTTTCAATGTGTATCAGTAAGTACTATAGTTGAGCCCTGGCAACTTCTTTATTTAGGCCTTACGACAATGCGACTCGGCAATTCATAGTTTCTTGACTTGGCTCATAACAGGGTATGCAATTAAAGGGAATCTTATTCAAAACAGGGTCTAATTTTTCATAAAGAAACGGTAGGGAATCTATTATTGACTATTTCTCTCATCAAGGTTATAAAACAGTCTCTAAGGGCAGGCGGGGTGGGGAGAGGATTTGTCCCGGCTTCTATGAGCATGATTCCCCGCTTACATATTGCATATACCCAGAACCTTGAGATCTTGGTGACGGTCCAAGCTGCAGGCATGTTAAATTTTCCGGCGTTTTTTCCTACATAGGATCAGGGCTCCAACATCTAAGTAGTAGACTTGTACTCAGTGGCCTGCATAGCAAGCATTTCCGAGGGGTTTCGGAGCAAAAAACGACTAACCAGAGTCAAAGACCGCGCAAAAAATGGCGCGAGTTAAAGAGCGGGGAGGGGTGGAGATTGGCTCTCGTTCTATTTCATGCGTAGCCAAAAACGAAAATCCTGTTCCTCGTTCTTTCAACAGAAACGCTTGTTACGCAGGCTATGTACCCTGTCGCTGTTTATACTTCTGTGGAAAGAGAGAAGATTAGATGATACTGTTGCGTGCGGTACTCATTGGAAAGGACGAGGAGAAATTTCCTTTAACCCTTCCATGACACCCCGCGTTCCTCAATCTAACACCAGTCTTCTCTGACCTCAAAAACAAATAAATAGCGACTGCGATTGGATACGATTCTGCGTAGGTAGGGTTTTATATCAAGGCTTACCGTTAACGGGCGAGAAGACTCATCTGTTGGCGAGGAGTCAGTTAGGACAGCTTCTGTTTCTCTCAATGCGGTTTCTTTTTTCATCATCGGGCTTCGAGTGCTTTGAGTGTATCTTCTGCAAAGGCTTTTAATAGCAGCGTCAAGCTTCCACAAGAAATCTACGATTTGTTCAACAACATTTTGCAGAGCTCCAGCAGTCTCACTCACGTGTCTCAAACCTTCCTGCGCTTCGGCCAGTTCAGTCTCTTTCTGCTGAAGGCGTTGTTTGCTGTTCTCTAATTCTCTCTCCTGATCACGGCTTGTTTGGGTTTGCAGTTTCAAAGAGTTTCTTACATAAGCCAGTTCTTTTCTTTCTTCCTTCAGGAGGCTCATCCACAATGCTGAATCTCTAGTATCGCAACCCCTTTGCCAGGCAAACATCCCTACACCTTCAATCTCGCGCTTGTTTTGTCGAATGCGCTTTTTAAGCGACTCAATTCCAGATTTGTACTTCTTCTGTTTCGCGTCCAAAATCGTCTCGGGATTTTCCTCTTCATCCACTGCCTGTGTCTTAGTTATCAACGTTTCCTGGAAATACTTGTTTTGTTCAGTGAGTTCTTCTATTTGTTTTAGCAGCTCTTTGAATTCAACTTTTTCTTCATCCGATGTTTTTGACAATTCTAAAGCCATCTTGCCTTTTTCTTTATAAATGGTGACGTTTGGTGTTTCGTAGATAACTTCAATCTGTTTGTTCTTGTTTCTGAACTTCTCAAGTTTATCCTCCAGGCATTTCAACTGACTCTTTAACCCTTCCTCTCGATTTTTACCCAATTCCAGGGAACCTTTCAGCAGTTCAACTTCTTTACGTAAATACCCATAATCAGTGTTTTCACCGTTTATACGACGACTCATTTCCTTTAAATCCTTTACCATCTTCCTTGCTTCATCGCATTCGAATTTAAGAACTTTGTTGCTTTCTTCGCTTTCTTTCAACTTAACCTCCAAAAGTTCGATTTGATACAAGTAATAGCTCTTTTCCATCTCCGCGAAGTTGTCTTCACCATCCTTTTTTTCTTTTAACTCGTCAACAATCACCCTCAGTTCGTCACATTCAAATCGAAGATTTTCTTTGCTTTCTTCGCTGTCTTTCAGCTTATTTTCTAACAGTTTGATTTGGTACAAGTAGTAGTTCTTTTCCATCTCCGCGAAGTTGTCTTCACAGTCCTTTTTTTCTTTTAACTCATCAAAGATCACCCTCAGTTCGTCATATTGAAATCGAAGGTTTTCTTTGCTTTCTTCGCTGTCTTTCAGCTCATTCTCTAGCAGTTCGATTTGGTACAAGTAATAGTTCTTTTCCATCCGCGCATAGTCAAGTTCATCTTTTAAATCCTTAAGCTGCCCATCTTTTTTCTTGATGGCTTCTCTTAGATTTGTAAATGCTCTTTCTCTGTATTCTTCATTAGAATTGAGACGCTTGAGTTCAAGTCTTAATGCTTCAATCTCAGTCTGCAAACTTTCACTTTGAACTTCTTCAATTTCTTTCTTCGTCAAAGTACCTTGGTCCACAAGCTTTTCATTCTCTTTCTCGTATAACTCAACAATAGGAGAGATGACATCCATATCTCTTAACACCATGCAGACATCTCCATTAAGACAAGAACCACAGCTTTCGGAATGACCACAGCGCAATCTGATATCATCCACAGCGTCCCAGGAATCCTCACCATTATCAGCTCCTTTTTCTGAAATGTTATCAAACTCAGCTTCGTCTTGGACATCCAAGACCCTGGTGTCTTCTGTTGGTGTTTTGCCGATGCACGGTGCAATCGCACTGTAAATGTCCTCAAACGACCCTCTTCCACTATCTTCTTCCAGTTTATCTTGATGGTAGCTTGACTCCTTCTTGTTTTCCTGGCAGTCATGACTTTCCCTTTTTAGCACTTCTCTTCTCTCCCTAGATAGAAATTATACCCATTAATTAACATGCCTGAAATATTAAATTGCATTGTTTAACATACAAAGGTCATCAAAGCCCAGTCAGTATTCCAGTACTGAGAGCCAGGAAAAAAGCTCTACTTAAGCTGTTGAGGGTATTTCTACTATTATTGCGCTGATTGGCTTGTTTAGTTGTGACGTTGTTTTGAGCAGCCAATCAGAAAATCAGCCCGGAGAAAGGGAGCAAGGTTATTCCTCGCATATTCAAGGTGCTCTGCGCGCTTCTTTTTCGTGTTTTGAAATATGTAGTCAATTCCTGTGAGCAAAGAAAGCACTTTTCTGTCTGGTTAAGATACAAAAAGTTCAATTTTATCCGTATCATCATGATCATGATCGTTTGTGATAGACACCACACACGGCATTACATTATAATGAAGCCTGCAGACTTGTAGAAGCCTAGTCTAGACCACCAAATAAAATATGCCAAGAGATCATAAAAGGTTACATTTACATTCTCTTGTGTATGCAAAGACCTTCCTCTTAACATAACGAAACACAAAATGTGTCAACCCCAAAGACATAAATCCATGTGTAACGAATATGCATTGATTACTTACTTGGCAGAATCTTTCACATCTTGGTCATCGACTGAGAATGAGGAGTCACTCTTGAAGTCATCTTGTGGCCCACAGGTACTTGTGGTGGTATGTGCTTGCATGATAAGACCTCCAGCCTCAACATCAGTATTCAAACCTGGTGTGAAGTCATCCTTTCTCTCACAACATAACACATCACTGTCCGTAATATCATTTCTGGTCTCTTGTACAGCACAATACTCTTTCTCGGTCTTTGATTTCTGTTAAAATAACGCACTGAACTCAGTTATTGCGTATTCTACGAAAATGACAAAATAAATAGCATAAAATAAATTTGCCGCTATTTACCTCTTTGCTTTCCACAAAAGTGAGTTGTCTTGATGTTTGTGGCCGGACTTGTTTGTTCAAACTTCTAAGAGGCTCACTGCACAGGCGTTTGGATTTGGTTGGAGAGTTAGGTTTAACCCTAGCTTGTTTACAGCGTCCTCCGCTTAGACTTGCACCTGTGTAGATGTTCACCAACATGACCATTACCATTTGTAATCCTTATTTCCTTTTTTATATAGTCTAGCTCTCCCTAGTATTTCTCCTTCAATATCTAGCTACAATATGTCATCTTATTTTCTTTTTACTCTCATTTTCTTCAGTTAATTCCCATCTTTTCACAAGGACAGCTTCTGTTTCTCTCAATGCGGTTTCTTTTTTCATCATCGGGCTTCGAGTGCTTTGAGTGTATCTTCTGCAAAGGCTTTTAATAGCAGCGTCAAGCTTCCACAAGAAATCTACGATTTGTTCAACAACATTTTGCAGAGCTCCAGCAGTCTCACTCACGTGTCTCAAACCTTCCTGCGCTTCGGCCAGTTCAGTCTCTTTCTGCTGAAGGCGTTGTTTGCTGTTCTCTAATTCTCTCTCCTGATCACGGCTTGTTTGGGTTTGCAGTTTCAAAGAGTTTCTTACATAAGCCAGTTCTTTTCTTTCTTCCTTCAGGAGGCTCATCCACAATGCTGAATCTCTAGTATCGCAACCCCTTTGCCAGGCAAACATCCCTACACCTTCAATCTCGCGCTTGTTTTGTCGAATGCGCTTTTTAAGCGACTCAATTCCAGATTTGTACTTCTTCTGTTTCGCGTCCAAAATCGTCTCGGGATTTTCCTCTTCATCCACTGCCTGTGTCTTAGTTATCAACGTTTCCTGGAAATACTTGTTTTGTTCAGTGAGTTCTTCTATTTGTTTTAGCAGCTCTTTGAATTCAACTTTTTCTTCATCCGATGTTTTTGACAATTCTAAAGCCATCTTGCCTTTTTCTTTATAAATGGTGACGTTTGGTGTTTCGTAGATAACTTCAATCCGTTTGTTCTTGTTTCTGGACTTCTCAAGTTCATCCTCCAGGCATTTCAACTGACTCTTTAACCCTTCCTCTCGATTTTTACCCAATTCCAGGGAACCTTTCAGCAGTTCAACTTCTTTACGTAAATACCCATAATCAGTGTTTTCACCGTTTATACGACGACTCATTTCCTTTAAATCCTTTACCATCTTCCTTGCTTCATCGCATTCGAATTTAAGAACTTTGTTGCTTTCTTCGCTTTCTTTCAACTTAACCTCCAAAAGTTCGATTTGATACAAGTAATAGCTCTTTTCCATCTCCGCGAAGTTGTCTTCACCATCCTTTTTTTCTTTTAACTCGTCAACAATCACCCTCAGTTCGTCACATTCAAATCGAAGATTTTCTTTGCTTTCTTCGCTGTCTTTCAGCTTATTTTCTAACAGTTTGATTTGGTACAAGTAGTAGTTCTTTTCCATCTCCGCGAAGTTGTCTTCACAGTCCTTTTTTTCTTTTAACTCATCAAAGATCACCCTCAGTTCGTCATATTGAAATCGAAGGTTTTCTTTGCTTTCTTCGCTGTCTTTCAGCTCATTCTCTAGCAGTTCGATTTGGTACAAGTAATAGTTCTTTTCCATCCGCGCATAGTCAAGTTCATCTTTTAAATCCTTAAGCTGCCCATCTTTTTTCTTGATGGCTTCTCTTAGATTTGTAAATGCTCTTTCTCTGTATTCTTCATTAGAATTGAGACGCTTGAGTTCAAGTCTTAATGCTTCAATCTCAGTCTGCAAACTTTCACTTTG